GGCCCTAACCAGCCCCTCAGTGGTAAGAAAGTCAGCCCATGGGCTGAAGGGTCAAGGGTACATTCCTCAATTGCAGGCTCCATCCCAGCGCTGGTTGGGGCATGTGTGGGAGGCAATCAATCAATATGTCTCTCTCACAATGATGTTACTCTCTCTCTCTCTCCCTCCCTTCCACTCTATCTATAAATCAATGGAAAAATATCCTCGTACGAGGATTACCCCTCTCAAAAAAAAAAAAAAAAAAAAAAAAAAAAAAAAAAAAAAAGAGGGGAGAGGGAGAGAAACTCATTTCAGATTAAATTATTAAATAAAGATGTTCCAAAGTCCCTCAGGTTAGGAATTGACATTATCCACCACAGTACTGCCAAGCCTGCAAAACAGCTAGCATATAGTAGATAGTGAAGAAATTACTTCATTTTCTTGTCCATTGTATAAAATTCCACTAATTTTATGTAATTTTCTAGTGCAAACAAATACAACTAGGTCCTAAATGGGCGACTCTAAATTTTTAAAAATCCAGCTTTATCGGAATCAATTTAAAGTGGCATTTTTATCATCTTGTTGATTTTTGTTAAAACAATAACACTATGGGAGTTAGAGCATCACTACCATAATTCCTTCCTAACAAAAATTTAAAGCAGTCAAAAAAGCTGAGAGACCAAAATGTAAATTACCAGGATGACAATGATGCTGGCAGCTAATGTTTTGTGCATATTCCATTTACATACTGTTCTAAATACTTCATGCAAAGCATTTCATCTTATCCTCACATCAACTCTAAAAGTTGGCACTTTGATTACTGTTTCCATTTTATAGATGAGAAAAATGAGGCACAGAGGTAGATCAAAAAGATATATTTACCTGGTGAACTTATTAAAACCATAGACTTAGAAGTCACCAGCACATAATAAGGAAAATGAGTAATCATCTCTTGGTCATAAAACCAAAGTCTGACATCTTTGATATTCACAATGTTCTTTAAGCTCAAGGAGAACAAGAACAGACAAGTCATTTCCCTGTGAGGTAATAACAACGGGTCCCAAAAGAGGGGTGGTATTAGTTATCACAGATTTATATGCACCACAAATGCAAGGGTTCTTTCATTTTCAAAACTGCACCTACACAATCAGTAAGGGCAGAAACGTGTTGGATCAAGGATCACAGAAAAAAAATGTTACAATTACCTTTCATCACAAGATTGGCCAAATACTGGGAATCTGATTAAGTCAATCTACAATTAGTCTCTGAATTTTTGGTCTTATGAAGTCATGACCAAGTGAATACCCACAGACTTTTCATTGCTTACTAACATGTCACTTAATTCTAACTAGTCAAAAATGAGCAATTGTTACGATCAACTCTCGCCTCACACTCTTGCCTAAGTGCCTTCAATTCAGGATTATCGAAAACATGGCTTTGCATGATCAGCATAGCTCATATTCATTGTCTAAACTGTCTTGAAAGAAAAACACACCTAGATATATTTAAAGACACAGTAATCTACCCTTGAGTTAAATGGATAATAAATGCTGCCAGGGAGTCAGGATAATGAAGGCAGAGCTGTTGCTGGGTTTCAGTTGCCCCTCCACAACTGGGGAGGCTAGCAGTAGGGAAAGATGATGTGCTTATCTCAACAGGTATACAAATTTGGCGCTTTTTTTTTCCTATTTTTTTTAAACTAAATTTATCGGGTTGACATCCTCTCTAATAAAGAGGAAATATGCTAATTGACCCTCACACCATCACAAAGATGTCAGCACCCGCAGTCAATGGGGGGCATATGTTGTCTGCCCTGCCCTCAAAGATGGCGGCACCCACAGCCACAAAATGGCAATGCCCAGTCCCTTTAGCCCCCCAAGGCTGGCAGGAGGTGCAGGCAAGCCTTAGATGGCAGCTGCCCAGACACCCAGGGCCACCCAAGGCTCAGGTAACCAGGGCCGGCCAAGGCTTGTACTGCCAGCAGTGGCAGCAGCAGAGGTGTGAGGGGGTGTCACCTTCTACTGATTGCCAGGTCATCTCTAGCCCCTGAAGGCTCCTGGACTGTGAGAAGGGGCAGGCCGGGCTGAGGGAACCCCCTCCAGTGCATGAATTTTCATGCACTGGGCCTCTAGCTGTTTGTTTAATAAGAGGACACAGGTTTGGAGTATAAATGTCTATGATACATGATCTGTATACTGCACTGTATGCCTACCACCCAGAGTCAAATCAGCTTCTGTCACCATATTTGATCCCCTTTTCCTTTTACTAACCCCGATCCCCCTTTCCTCTGAACCACCATACCGATGTCTGTGCCTATGAGTTTTTGTTTGCTTTTCTTGTTTGTTCATTTGTTGTTTTCAGTTTTATAGCCCATATGTGAGTGAAATCATATGGTTCTTAACATTTTCTGTCTGACTTATTTCACTTAGCATGATGTTCTCAAGATCTACCATCTTGTTTTCTGGTGTCATTTTTACGGTGACATGGAAAAGGCTAGAAAATGCTGGTGAGTTGGGGTAACAGCCAAGACTGCAGAATCACCATATCTGGGCTCAAAGCCAGGTCCGACTTAGAGCAGTGAGACTTTGGGCAAGTTCCTCATCCTCTCAAAGCCTCAGCCCCTTCATGTGTAAAATTGGGTGATGACATCCACCTCACAAGACAGCTCTAAGGGGTAGGTAAATGACTGCACCTAAAGCACTTACTAGAATACGGGGGGGCATAGGAAGTGCCTGTAAAATGTTTGTTATTACATCATCATCAATACTACCAAAACCATGTTTCAGAGGGAAGGACAAAATAACAGAAAGGTGATGCTTACTACTACTAGATTGTTTCAATAAATGTCAATAATACTCATCAGAGATTTCTAACCCGGACATCTGTACACCCCATTCCACTGATAGCTTTTACTTGCTCCTAAAGTAAGCAAATATTCTAAGTTACTTACAGCTTAATTTCTTCAACATTAAAAAGCATTTGCCCTCGGTCTTAGTCCTCTCATTAATTATGTCTTGGTTATTTACTATTCTTATATATTAGGTGTCTGTTCTTTTAAGCCCTAGAAGGATATTTACAATTTCCTGCTAAAAATCCCCTAGAATGATGGTTAAGTTTCCTAAGTTAGAACCTGTGAGTCATCCTAGATGGTATCCAAGTGTACATTTTTTTTTTTTTTTAATCCACCCGTTATCCCCATTGCTTCCATCTTTGAGTCAGTGCAAGCACTTGTGACCTCAGGTTACATAACTGTCTCCTTACTGACTACCCGGACCATCACTCAACCTAATCCACCCTTCCCGTTTTCAAAAAGGCACAGATAAGATTGTATCCTTGAGCGGATGAGTGGGGTTGGAAGGTGTTGGGCCACATCATTTTGTGGCAGGAAAACTGGCCACCAAGCTATAGATTAAAAGAGATTTTAATAAAGATAAAATTTTTAAAAAATAAAATGAGACTTTCAAAAGATATCACAATAATTGGACCTTATTCAGATCTTATTCAAATAAATAAACCACTGGGAAAAAATTTCTGAGACAAAGAAATTTGAATATTTTCATGACATAAAAAGTTATTTTTTTTTTAAGCTTGATAACAATATCGTGGTCAAGTTTTTTAAAAGTCTTTATAAAGATACATATTCCAAAATAAATATGAACGAATTGCTATGTCTGGATTTACTTCAAAATAATCCAGTTATGGGAGAGGGGGAGTAAAAGATGGAACATAATTGGCTATCAATTGACAATGTTGGACACTGAGTACATGGGGCTCTGTCTCCAATATTGGGAACATTTGTAACTTTCCACAATAAAATGATGGGGGGGGAGGGAGGATACACATTTTCAGTTGCCTAAACAATCAAGACACACACTCCCCTTTATTTTATTTATTTATTTTTTTTTTAATTACACATTCACAAGCAAGTATGACTGGCCTGCCTCTTCTCTTGACTCAGATCCTGACCCCACCGAGTGCCAGTCATAGTAACTCTGCCACAATGTTCAAAACATCCAGCTAGGCCTTTCTCTTCTCTGTGTCACTGTATAAACTGCTTCTTCTGCCAACAAAGTCTCTCTAGAGCCATGGCCACACTTCTGAGGCCAGTTCAAAGGGTTGCCTCTCTGAGACCCTCCCCAATGCCCCAAGCCTTCCCTTGCACTTCCTCAGCCCTTCGTACATGCCTGTATCCTCAGCCAACTCAGTTACTTTTTGTTGTTGTTGATTCCCTTTTATTCTATGTCTACTTTCCTCAAGAGATTATGGCTTCCTTAATGGCAGAGGCTGTGTTTTATTTACTTCAATAAATACTCCCTAAAATAGGCATGGAAAGTAATTATTTAATAACTGCCTTGGAAAACAGGAAGGAAAGTCAACAGAACAACCATCAGTCATGGCAAACATTATTAACAAAATAAGATGTCTGGTAAGTCACAGTTTACATACACTAACATAATATTTACCCACTGTATATTTATCACGTTCTTTAAAAAATGAGTTGTGATCATTTTCAAAAGATTTGTTACATATCTTGAAAAAGTCGGTATTATTTAAAGAAGAAACTACGCCTATAAAGAGAAGTGGACAACTTATTTTTCTGTTTCTGAAAGATTATAAGTGAAAATATGATATTTATATTACCTTTACATCTCATCTGGTGTAGTTGTGGGAATATGTATTTTGTTCTGTTAAAAAGACTACCATACTTCTTATTTCATAATGATAACAATGTCAAAATACTGCATAATGTGAAAGAATACTTCTGAATTACATGTGAGAGATATAGCTACAGATGTGAAGTAATATCAGCAAAGAACTGTAAACATTTACTCTGTCAGAAATAGCTGAAATATTTCACATTTTTACACTATGAAAAATAAGTTAATGCGAAAGTAAGGTAATGCTGACACAATAAGCTGGTACTACTACTTCTTTGATTTTTTAAGGAAAGCCTTTAGTTATTGTATTATACATTACACATCATACATTATACATTATACAAGGGGAAAGGAAACACCTACTAGTATAAAACTTCATTTGCTTCGTGTCTTTCATATCTCACAGTTTCACACATTAACCTGTAAAAGAAATAAAGACATGAACTCAAGATCTGCCATGAAAAAATCACACCAATAGTTTAAAAGCACAAATGAGCCACGTATCCTAGAAAGGTAAGATTACTTATAGCTTATCACAGTCACTTACTGGCCTCAAGATGAGTATTTTTGGTGCTGAGATTAACGAAATAAAATCTGGTAAAGAGATGCTAGGAGGAAAAAACCATTTTGTCAGATGTCAACTTTGTCACATTTATTTTACAGGTAACAAACTTGTATGTGTTTTTTATACTTTGTAAATGACATTTAGACAGATCCGGGTTCTCCAAAGTAAACCGAAAATGAGTAGGAACCTTAGAAAGAAAAACCTAGTAATTTTAAAAGTGATGACATCATTCACAGCTCAACATTAATGTTATTTTAACAGTGTGGCATTTCAGACAAAAGCAGGCTTTTATTAACTCAGTATTTTTATGACTAATGACTAAATGGAGGCTTTACAACTTCTGAGGAACTGTTGTTTCAGCTGACTCATCCCTGAGGAAAAAAATTATGGAAATTATGGAAAATATGAATAAATGTTTAAATGTTCAAAAGTACCTCAAGAGCAGCATCTTCAAAAATACATATCAAAGATAATTTCATAAATTTTGAATAATATATATATGAATTATTATGTATCATATGAACAATACATATCCCTATAATTTCCTATTATATTAAGCCCAAGTAAAATTTCCCTAAAATAGAGAAATGCAAAAGAGAATAGATTGATGTTGTCAGGTCATCTTGTGGAGAGTCTGGTACATAGAAAACAACTCTCCTGGGTACTATTTTTCCTTGTGTGTGTGTGTGTGTTTTTTTTTTTTTTTTCCTGCTACCATCTTCTTATCCTCTCAATCCCAGACTCCAGACATTCAAGCTGAATGGCACAACTCCAAGAGGCAGCATCGAATCTTGAACACACACCATTGAACATACAGTTTTCTTTCATGGACAGAACCACATGAACTCCTCATAGAAAAAAATGACAGTCACTAGTGATGGGTCTAAAAATAGCTGGTCTTAAATCAAGTAACTGGCTCTGCCTTGTTTCCTGTTGGAATAGTTGACATCTAGGCCCCAACCTCTTCACTGGATCTCATCCCTTCTCCTATGTAAGACCCTGCCTTCCTGAAAGCTCACCTTCTTCTCCTCTATCACCATCTATTTTTCCCTTTCTCCTGAAACACCTCCTTTAACATAGAAACATATCACAGCATCATCTACTGTGTATGGGAGGCAGACACCTCCCTTGACCCCGAATCCTACTCCAGCTATTATCCACATCTTGCTTTCACCATGACAGAAATCCTCCTTTTAGAGTTGTCTATACACTGTCTATCACTTCTCACTCTCTTCCCACTCTTCCACCACTTGTTTCCTGAAACTCCAAAGAAAAGGCTCTAAAGCGTTACCAGCATCCTCTGTGCTATCTAAATCCTTTCTGTCCTTATCTCAATTCCACTTCTCCTTTTTCTTTCCAGCAGTATCTTCTCAGTATCTTTGCCAGGCTTCCTGTCCTCAGTCTCCAGGTTTTTCTTATGATGCATGAGTCACTTTATTCTGTCTCCTTTGGATGTGCCCCCCACTCCACCCCTCTACCCTACTTCTAAAGGTTATCCATCACCTCCAGGGCCCTTCAGCCCTCCGCTCCTCTGCACCACGTAATCTCATCCAGTCTGTGATCCCAAATTTAATCTATAAACTGATGACTTTCACAGCAATGCCCCAGACCTAATCTCTCACCAAGACAGGCACTCAGGATGAGCCACAATTACACCACTATTATCTATTCCCAGGACTACAAAGGAAGATTTTTTTTTTTTGCTTCTACTTTTGCAACCTATTGTCCATTCTCCACATAACTTCCATGCAGATCTTTGCAGGTGTTACGTCAGATCTTCTCAGACCTCTGCTCTTAATTTCCACCACTTTTAGGACAAAATACAAACTCCTAAATCTTGAATACAAGGGCCTAGACTTACTTGTACTATAATCTCTTCGTCTATCATACTTTGCCGCCACACCTGTCTTCTCGTACCTGAAACCTGTTCCCGTGACAGAGCCTCTGAGACCCATCTACACGACAGAGACCTTTGCCCATTTGCCCGACTCAAATGTTACCACCTCCTTTTTGACTACACAGCACCCATTCTTACCAGGCCCAGCACATCTGAACAAAGCAGCAGTGATCCATTCCCTAAATCTTGTCTGCCCCACGAGGAACGTACCAGTAAGCTCTGCAAAAGCAGCAGCTTGGCCTACTACATGCTGTGTCTACATGGCCTACGTCAGTGTCTAACATAAAGTAGGCACACAAGGAATACCTGTTGATCAGATAAATAAATTCAACTGGTTCCACAAAAGAAAAATCATGATAAAATCTCCTATATGACAATGTTCTACTAAATGAAAGAAGTACCAAAAGTTGTTTTATCTTTAAATATTGTTAGGGAATGTTTTCTCAAAAGCATGTTGATCTTTACTACATTCCTAAAGAATATACTAACCCTAATTGAGTTGTTTGGTGATCATCTGAAAGTTCTTATAGCGTATGAATTACACTCCTCCATAATGCTGCCGAGTATTTACATATAGTTCAGCAGGCTCTTGTTTCCAACACTGACTAGTCCCAGACACTTACTCTGCTTTTTAGACATTTTGGTCTCCACTCCTAACTATAGTATCTTCTTCCCCTTTGGCCAACATGTTGCTTCTAATCCACATGGGTTGAGAGGGTAAATATTTAAGAAATAAAGTTGTGTTGAAATATATATATATATTTTTTAAGTGAAGATCTGAAAACCTTCACATTGCACAGTGTGTGAGCATATAGAAACACAGTCAATCAGCTGCTCCGAATCGATTGCTGACATGTGAATGGGCCATAATCGTGCACAAAGCCGAGGCTTTCAATAAAAGCCTGCATCGTGTCCCCCGGCTCCCAGCTGAAGTGTATATCGTTCTTCTGCCTGTTACTCAATAAACAGAGTGAAAATCTTGATTAAGAGCTGCTTTCCTCCCGCCAAAATTGGAAAACTGTATTATGTAGAAGTCTTAACTGTTCTCTATTTAATCCTAGGAGTAAAACTTTTATTTAAAAAACTCAAAGGAACTTATCTAAATATGATGTATTTTTCCCAGATATGGTTATTATTATAAAGCAGTTTATCCCAATTACTAAGTTTATGTGAATCTCATTTTTTTAAGTTTTCATTTGGGTATTCTGCTTTGCTCTAAGAAACGGACTTAAGATAGTTTCCGCTGATGTTTTCCACAAATAAGAGAAACAAATGACTTTTTAACATAAGCAAAATAAGATAAACATCTTAAAGACTCCTCCTCTCTGTAAATTCATGCCAACGAACAAAACTGTATAGTCTCCAAAACAGACTTTCTAAGGTATAACTAGACTAAACTATACCCTTGAGTTCATCAGTTATTTCTAATCAAAATTTACCTTTGAAATAGCAGGAAATTAATAGTTCTAAAGCTGGTAAATAAGTAGATGGAACTTCACTGTGTTATTATGTCTACTTTTGTAATCTTGAACATGCCTGTATTAAAAATTTTTTTCTATTGCATAGAATTCCTAGTATCTAAATAATTCAATAACTACATATACTATACATACAGTATAATCATTACATCTAATTATCCATGTGTGCTTTTATACGCACAAGAACAAATATTACAATTCTCATATTAACTCATTTATCTGCATCTGAAGGTTAACTGCCTTTGATTGACAGTTGGTGCTAATTTTATTTCTTAGAATAGTTGATATAAAAAAATATGTAATGAAAGGTACACACTTTAAAAATTATTCTTGCTTTAATTTGAGCCATCTTCTAAATTCCCAGTGGTTTTGCCCTTTCTAATAAAACTTGACTGAATTTTTAAATACTTAACCTGCAAATTTAAACGATTTTCATTAAGTAGTCAATCCTCTTGACACATTTTTCAATTAACAACTAAATATGAAATTTACATGCTCACAAATTAAATAGTGTTTAAAGATTAAAGGGGAACTATATAGAAAAAGTACTCCTTCCATAATTAAAAACTGCTGTTTCACAACCAACTAGAGGAAACAAAACCTTCCCCTTATGTCCTAGATGTGTGTGATCCCATCTTCCCAGCGTCCTTTATTTTCTGTTCTGATTAAGGGGAAAGAAAAAGAACTCACTGAATTATATAAGATGTTTTAATCTTTTAATATGAAGCCAGGTAGCCATTGGTAAGGTTAATAGCTGTGCGATAAAAGTGGGCCACATAAAAATAACTATGGTATAAGCTATGTTTCCCAGAAAGGGGTATGTCAATTTAATGCAATAAATATAATACAAAGACCTAAAACATATTAAAATAACAAACCTAACCATTCTTTGAATAGTTAAAAACATTCTCATTTCTTGAGCGGTAAGGTGTAGGTTTTTATTTGCCAGGATGGCAATAACGCTCCTTTTGGCATATTCACCAAGTAGTGTTTATTACTTCAGGTGAGAGGATGCAGGGGGAGGGTATCACTGTGGCACAATGTAAAAAAATTATTGTATGCATAAACCTGGTTTCAATTTTTAAAATGTATAAAGCCAAGTACAGGGGCTTAAAGAAGCAGGGTTTTCATAAGTAAGTTATCTTTAATCCTACTTCTTAACTATAATAAACGGCCACATAAAATCTAGCATCCTATTGTAATTAATATTAAAATGACTTACCTAAGTTGGTGTTCCCTCAGGTTTGATAAGGCTTCCATACCATGTAAATAGGAATACACTATTTCCAGATCCTGTTTGGGGGAAAAAAGAATAGAAATCATTAGATTTGCTAGGAAAAAAGGCTTCCAAACTAAGTCACTATATTTATAGACCAAGTTAAAGACAGGTGTTTTTTGTGTTGTTGTTTAAAAAAAAAAAATACAAGTTTTCTTAGACATTAAAAATAAGCACTATTGCTCTAGTCGGTCTGGCTCAGTGGATGGAACATCTGCCTGCGGACTAAAAGGTCAAGGGTTCGATTCCTGTCAGGGCACATGCCCGGGAGTGTAGGCTTGATCCCCAGTGGGAGGACGTGCAGGAGATAACCAATCAATGATTCTCTCATCATTGATGTTTCTATCTCTCCTTCTCCCTTCCTCTCTGATTTAAAAATAAATAAATAAAATAAAAACTTGTTAAAAATAAGCATTATTAAGAGAAAAGCTGCACAAATGCTATCCATTACAAATAACTTCTGGATAATATACAAAAGCTTATATGTATATAAGTATATATACATACATATGTATGTGTGTATATATGTATTTTTTTAATTGACTTCAGAGAGAAAGGGAAAGGAAGAAAGATAGAAACATCAATGTGAAAGAGACACATTGATGAGTTGCCTCCTCCATGCCACAAACGAGGGCCAGAGGTAGAGCCTGCAACCAAGGTGCATCCCTTGACCGAGAATAGGACCTGAGACCCTATAGTACTTGGGCCAACATTCTAACCACTGAACCGCATGGGCTAGGGCATTACTCTGTTATTTCTCAACATTATGGGATTTCATAGTTGTGCGGGAGTTGCCCTTCTCTATAAGTTAAGTCACAGCTGTTACATGTGTCAGTATTATATGCGTGCGGAAGGGGAGAAGAACAGGTTCCTGAGTGGAGGAGCTGGGGATTAAGAAATAAAAGAAAGAGACAAGAGGCAGAAATAGATTCATCAAGCTGGGTGCCGGGTGGGGGCTGTCACCCTGATGGAGGGACAGACAACCCCAACCACAGACCACACAGCATTTATTGATTTCCCGACGGGGCGGTAAGGTCAAAGAAGTTTTGGGTGTGCCCAGGTCCTATTCATTCCCTCATTCCTGGGATTTAGCATATCAAGACCTGGGCTAGTCAAGGTCCTATTCGTTCCTCATTCCAAGCACGTGGATAAAGATAAGAAATCAGCACTGATAATCAGTCTCGGACATTTTGGGAGGCTGTTTTGGGGAGACGGCCGTGCCTGTCACCTCAGCTGACATTATTTTTTTTTAAATATATTTTATTGATTTTGTACAGAGAGGAAAGGAGAGAGATAGAGAGTTGGAAACATCGATGAGAGAGAGTCATCGATCAGCTGCCTCTTGCACACCCCCTACTGGGGATGTGCCCGCAACCAAGGTACATGCTCTTAACTGGAATCAAACCCCGGGACCTTTCAGTCCCCAAGCCGACGCTCTATCCATTGAGCCAAACCGGTTTCGGCTCAGCTGACATTAATTTAAAGGTCATCCATGTGCATTCCCAAGGGGCCTTCTACATATGCGTGAACTTAGTCTGAATGTATAATTTGTGTAATTATATAGATTAAATCTGTGAACAGTAACGACCACCAGTATACCTTTATCTTAAAACAATGTGTATAATTGTAACTTGCAAATGCAATAAGATTTTTTTTTGTTAATAAGAAAGTGGAGAATAATGGTGTCTTGCCACCTGTAAATAACTGACATAAGGTCAAGAAGCCTATTTTATAAAACTAAGACTGTGAAGGAAAGAGACTGCATCCTACCATTACTGAATGGCCAACTCTGAAAAGTAGTTTTTCCATCTACGTGTCTGTAGCTACATACATTAAAACAGTCACATCGTAATGATGTTTGGGGAGGAGGGGTGGATAGGTTTAAATATGGCCACTCAGGCAATACGCAACTAGGGAAATCTTTGCCACTGTTTCATGTGAGGATTTTAGACGTTTAACTGGACATAAACTTGCTACATGAATTTAACAGTTATATCCAGAGTGTACACCTAGAGAAACTTGTTTTAAGTGGCCTATGCCACAGAGAGCTTATAGACCAGAGGAGCAGTCATTATTCTACAGGAATCTGTTGCATGGAAGGCAATGTTATCCAGCTCGAATGAGATGACTTTCCAGGCAGATTCTATCTGAACGTGAGATCTCTTTAACTGTAACTAAGAGAAGGGATGCGAGAGACTGGTATCCAGATGGCAGAGAACAGGCACGTAAATGTCAAGTCTCACTGTGCAGCAGGAACGTGACCATCACAGATTTGGGGGAAGCAGGGAAAGCAGGGGTGCCATGGAAAAGGCATTAGGAAACCTCTGCTCTCAGCCTCCAAGGAATGAAAGAAATCTGACTAGAGAGGAACAAATGAAATGCAAACCACAGGAAAAAGGACTCTGTGGCTAAGCTTTTCATCTGCACTGAAGAGCCCAGTAGCCAAGTACAAGATTTACCAAGGATTAGGGATTGTAAGGTAAACAACAATGACAGGCAAAAAGGAAGACCAGGTTGCCTCTCCTTTCCCAGGGCCAAGGTGAACTGGGCAACTCCTTAAAATAGGCGATTGCCACCTTTTGAATCTTCTGATTAGCTTGTCTGCCCTCTCCCAGAGTGCCCAGCAGCCTCCCATCACCACAAACCTCCTTCTGGGGCCTCGTGCCCTGGTCTAACAATTAAAAGAAAACAATCTGAACACCAATGTGGATGTGAGTGGTCAGTGGAGGCCATTGAATCTTCCATAGAGGAACTATCCAGCAGTGTTTGCATTTCCTTAGTCCAAATGAAGAGACAGAAAAAGAGGGCTAGGCAGGCAGCCAGGAACAGGGACCACATGGAGGCAGAGGAAGAGAAGTCAGACATGGAAGCAATCAAAAAGACCTAGAACTAACTGGGCAGGGTAGGGTGGGGGAGGGGGAAGACTTATCCCTTGACCTGGCTAGGTGGGAACAGTGATGTTACATTGGACCTAGAGTGGCAGTCCTCAATCAGGTCCTCCCATAGGCGGGAACTTGAACTTTGATATAACTGGATATGAATAGTCCCTAGACTACTGGTCGGCAAACTCATTTGTCAACGGTGCCAAATATCAACAGTACAATGATTGAAATTTCTTTTAAGAGCCAAATTTTTCAAACTTAAACTTCTTCTAATGCCACTTCTTCAACATAGACTCACCCAGGCCGTGGTATTTTTGTGGAAGAGCCACACTCAAAGAGCCGCACGTGGCTCTCGAGCCACAGTTTGTCGACCCCAGCCCTAGACAAAGAGCTTAAGCGGGACCCCATCTGGGGCTGTATATGCCCCACCTAAGCTTTGTTTCCCCCGTCCCCCTCAATAAATGTTGCTTTCTTCCCACCATTTTTGTCTACGCATCTATTCTTTGGTCTTATAAGACAAAGAGCTCGGACCCGACCACATTTTGGGTTTCACAAACAAATCTCCAAGTGGTATGAGATCGAAGGCAGCACAACCAAGACGAGCAGTTCATGGGGGGAGGTTGGGGGGCATGAGAGCCCTGCAAGGCGGGGAACTACCACCACCCCCCTTTCACTCAGATGTCTCACCCCTCACTCCCCACTAACGGCTGGCCTGCACTAAGTAATCCGCACGTTGGTACCGAATGGCCTCCACCCAGCTAAGCTAGGAAACAAACAGGACAGAGCTCAAGGCAAGGAGGAAGTCCTGCTCTTCAGAGCCACCTGAAGTGGGTAACCTGCCCTGAAAACTAGATACAACAGAAGAAGAGTTCTCGCTCTTAACCGGACGAAGAAATGCATGGCCTTCAGGAAGTTACATTCTTGGATCCTGATTTTTCCCTCTACACCGACCAGAGGCATTCGGAGTAAAGTTATGCTTCCCCGCTCTTGGCTGCAGAGAGAGAAAAGCCTGCTGGAGAGCTACATCACCTCCCGTGTTCCGACCTCCGCCTCTGTCAGGAAACTATGCCCTGCAAACTGAGACCTCTCCGGCCTCCCACCGCACCTCCGAGACCAACGGAGCTCACGTGACCGTTACAATTTTAAATAGCCCTTAAAAAATGTGACCTGTGTTTCCCCAAATAATTCTCTAGCCTTCGGTACAAACAGGAACACGTTGCTCTCCTCAGGAAGTGGTGTTTTTTATTTTTTTTTAGAACAATAAGCCTTTCCTTCAAGCCTAGGAAGGACATCCTTTTTTTTTTTTTTTTTCCCCCCCCAAAAACAGATGCTACTTAAAAGCAGATTAAAGTGATCAAAAACAATGGAGCCCTGTAGACAAAGATATTGGCAGGCCAAATGAAATGCAGGTTTCCATTGAAAAAAAAAAAAAGAAAAAGAAAAGTACCCATGTATGAAAATCCAAAAGCATCCAGCCCCTCTGTTGGTTGGGAGCATGATTGCTCACAGCCTAATTAACCCGCCTGCCCAGGTCTGTGCACTCCGCACGCATATGCAAGTTGTAGGGAATGTTCTCTGCTTCATGAGCTCTTCCTCCCACGTCTAATGTCTCCTCGGAGACTCATTCAGAAGGTAACAGGCCTCATACCAAACTTATAATTCACTTACAACGAGCTTTTAATTTCACTTGTTCGCCAGCATCGGATACTCGCCAACCACAGCACAGTGCATTCTGATGGCTGGAGAGCAGAGAGGAGCTAAGTGTTCCCACAACTGGAGCCGGCTCACCCCCACCCTCTCTCTGCGGCTTCAGCAAACAGTGCACCGTACTCAGAGAGAAAAAAAATACCTGGCTCTTCCTTTGAAATGAGTCTGTTTTGGAAATGAAGCTCTGTGCTTACACTATAATCAGAAGTACAGTGGACAAAAGGTACAGTGTTCCAGTTACAAGATACATTAAAAAAAAAAAAAAAAAGATTCATTCATTTAAAAAAGATTGTATTTCAATCATCAAAGAGGGTAAGGCCAAGACTGTGGTACAATTAGCATGCGGAAGGAGACTCCGGTGGGAAGTGCTTTTGGGCTTAACCATGAGGAGAAGAAAGAATTTTCTTAAGTACAGCAGTCTTGGGACC